TCAAAAGTTTGGACACACGAATGGGAAGTGTGTCCAAACTTTTGACTATACTGTACTATAATATAGCCTACACATAAAGAATATCGGCCGATATATCGGTATCTGTCTTTTTTTTACTCCCTAATATCGGTATCGGCATCGGCCCCCAAAAAACCCATATCGGTCGGGCTCTAAAAAATACTGATGAATCATGTTGTGCTCAGTGTTGACACATTTTTGCCAGATGATCCCTAAAATCAAACCGAGGTGTCAGAATGATGTGATGGTGTGTGTGTGTGTGTGCGCAGTTCCTGAGGAGAACATCGCCACGATGAAGTACGGCGCTCAGGTGGTCAAAGGCGAGCTGAAATCGGCGTTACTCGACGGAGACACGCAGAACTACGATCTGGACCACGGCTTCTCCAGACACCCCATAGAGGAGGAGGGACGCGCTGGGCTCCAGGTCAAACTCGGCCAGGCCTTCATCATCAACCACATCCGCATCCTCCTGTGGGACCGGGACAGCCGGTGAGCCTCTCGTCTGACTCCATGCGTGAGTGTGGATGAAGATCTGAAGGGGACTGATTTCAGGAAATGTCTTTTCATCTCCACCTCAGTTTGATATTTCTGACATAAGCTTCACCTGTCAGACAGTGAATCTGCATTTTCATTCAGCCCGTCTGCTTTCATTTAATTTTTTCATTTTAGAAAACTTTGTCAAAGCTTATTACCTTTACTCATTACTATACTATTGTCTGACCTGTAAATTTGTTTAAAATTTAGCTTACGGTCATTTTAGGGTGTTACCGTACTCATTGGTGTTTCAAAACAACAGTGCTACTTAAACAACATGTAGTTCTGTTCTAATATCAGAATTTGTCCGTTGTGGAGGACTTCAAGCTGTTGCTAAAGGGGTTTTGTTGGAAAGCGTGATTGAGCTGGTTGTGTTTCGTGTGTGTTGATGTTATTGAGTGACAGCTGATTGTGAGTTCTTCCTCTCCTGCAGCTCATACTCCTACTACATCGAGGTGTCTGTGGATGAGCTGGACTGGGTTCGAGTGGTGGATCACTCCAAGTTCCTGTGCCGCTCCTGGCAGAACCTCTACTTCTCTCCTCGGGTCTGCAGGTAAAGCGCTCTGGAGATCACATGCTCACTTCATGAGGTCTCCTAATGATCAGGGAAAAGCCACGCGATAGTTGCCGAAGGTTTTTTGATGTCGTTTAATTCATCCGTGGCCAGAGCTGGAGGGTCTACAGTATTACTGCGCCACCTAGAGGTGAAATAAAACATCACAGACTTCGCATGCAGTTTACTCTGTTGTGATGCATTAGTCATTACAATAAATCAGAGACAAGAATGGAAACCGCTCACTTTTTGTCCTGATTTGATAGGAGAGGAGCTATAAACTTGAGTAGATCTTGCTGCAAGGTCATTGCATATTAATATCCACCTTGTTAATGTAAAATTGCTGACCATAAAAACAAGAGTTGATATTCCAACTTGAAAATCCAGCATCGGTGGAATAAGTGTCTGCTGGCTGTCACTGCTGATGCTGTCAGAGATGTGGAAGCAGATGGATTTGTACTGTTCTTCATGTCTCAGGTACGTGAGGATTGTAGGAACACACAACACCGTCAATAAAGTCTTCCATCTGGTGGCTTTCGAGTGCATGTTCACCAGCCGTCCTTTCACTCTGGAGAAGGGGCTTGTGGGTAAGATGTCAGGTTGGCATGCAGTTGTTTTATCTGCGACGTTGTGTTTGTCATGTGTGAGTGAATGTCCTGCACGCGTCTGCAGTGCCCAGTGAAAACGTGGCCACCGTCTCGGCGTGTGCGAGTGTGATCGAGGGAGTGAGTCGCAGCAGAAACGCCCTCCTGAACGGAGACGCGCGCAGCTACGACTGGGACTCGGGCTACACCTGTCATCAGCTGGGCTCCGGAAACATCGTCATCCAGCTGGCACAGCCCTACATCATCAGCTCCCTCAGGTACCTGTGAGAGTGAGTGAGTGTGTGTCTGTGTGTGTGCGCGTGCGTGTGCGTGAGCGTCTGCGCGAGTGTGTGTGCGTGAGTGTGAGTGCGTGAGTGTGTGTAAGTGTGTGAGTGCGTGTGTGTGCGTGCGTGTGAGAGTGCGTGTGTGTTGAGAGTGTGTTTGAGTGTGTGTGAGTGTGCGTGTTTGTGAGTGAGTGTGAGTGTGTGTGGTGTGTGTGTGATGCATCAAATATGATACTCAACAGAAAAACATTGAACTCAACATTTTATTATTTTTTTTTGCCTAAAGGTTAAATGTAATAAAATGCTACAATGGCAGTGCAAATGCCTTCATTAAGAAACCCATTTAGTGTAAGTTTGAGATGGACACAGTACTCCAGTACTCAGTTGAGAGACGAGAACACATTTCTTGATTCTGCTGAAGAGTCAAATGCTGAGGCGCTTTCAGAGCGTGACGACGCGACACTAACTGCACCAGTGAAGGGCAGAGGAGCCACACCGACGTCTGTAATGCGTTTCTGACTCTTTCAGGCTGTTGCTGTGGGACTGTGATGAGTGTGATGAGCGTTACTACATCGAGGTGTCCACCAACCAGCAGCAGTGGACCAAAGTGCTGGACCGGACCAACCGGACCAACCGGTGAGCAGCGTCTCTGCACCACAACACACACTCACACTGACAATTAGTGTTGATTATTAAATGTGATTTTCCGTTAAATTTAGATTTCAGTAAAAATGTAATTTTTAAAGAGTGCATGGGTTTCTCTTTAACGTGACGCTCTCTCTGACCCATCAGATCCTGGCAGGTGCTCAGCTTTGACAAGCATGCGGCGGCGTTCGTTCGGATCGTGGGAACTCACAACACTGCCAATGAGGTGAGAGCGGCGTGTGGAGTAACTCGGCACAATCCAAGCGTCTGCGGCCTCTGACCTCCTTCCCATGATTCCTGCAGGTCTTTCACTGTGTGCACTTCGAGTGTCCCGCGCAGCTGAACTCTGAGGGCAGCCCAGGACCCGCTCCGTCCCATCAGACGAGTCCGAGTCACGGGTGATGCTCCTCAGGAGGTCCTGCTGACTGCAGATCACACACTCTTCATCACCATCATCACACCTTCACATTCTGAATAACCCCATTTGCTTCATTTGCATTGCCCAGGTTGTAATGGTTGATTCTGTTGTTTTATGTGTTATTTATTAGATTGTTTGCTTATTGTAAATGTCAGTTGATCTGAAGCATATTTATTCAAATAAGAACTTTTCTCTTGTAATATATTCAGTTTTGGCGATGGCGTTGCACTATAGCATTGGTAGTGGACTGAAACACTTATTTTTAATTAGAGTTTCAGTTAGATCCATCCAAACTATTATTAATCATCGTATCTGATCCCAACTGAATCCAAGTATACGTGATATTTTACTCCGCTCAGTGTTGTACTTCTAGCCCTTTTTATGTATGGTGGCAAACACACTAGAAATAATAGTTTGATGCTGAGCTGTCTGAACGTCACTGGTCTTCCAGAATCTGTGTGTGTGGTCTGGGCTCTGATGTTGCTCGGGACACACAAACACGGTTTGTAAGTCTGTAAATAGGCTCGCTCATTTTGAAGCTGTGCGTCTTTCTCTGGTTTTGTATCTGCTGAACTCAAAGTGTTGGTTTCCTAATGTGCTCGCTAATGATTTACAATATTTTGAGTTTAGCAAGTGGCTGGCAACCCCCTGTACTGTGTTGATCAGTCTACACTGAGTCAGACTTTAGGGCAGATTCACCAAGACTGGACTTGCACCTGATTCAAGCGCTGTTTCTTCCATGAGCTCAGTTCGCTGAAGGAATCCTGTAGATCACGCAACAGCATAAACCCCCAGAAAATCTGCACTAATAGCAGTTTGCAGCAGCCGAATAACTACTTCTCTTACAAATTTTGAGAAATCTGGACTTTTAGCACACAAGCCACAGAATGAAAAGAAATAAAATAAGTAATTGTGACTTTATCTCAGAGTTCACACTTTTTTACTTGCCATTCTAGGTTTATGTGTCTCAATTCTACATTTTTTTTTTCTCTTTCAGTTAGGAGGAAAAAGTCGGAACTGTGAGATGGTAACTTGCAAATGATCAATGTAGCTGAACTTGCAATTCTGAGAAGATAGAATTTTGAGTCAGAATTGTGAGAGAAAAAATTGCAATTACCGTTTTTTATTCTGTAGCAGAAACAAAATAAATGCAGAATTGCTAGAACTTAGAATTCTGAGTTTCCATCTCGTTTAATCTACATACAGATTCAAGTCTTTTGTTAAAGTGAGATTTACTTTTTGTGTATTTGTGCATTTATGAATGTAAAATTTTCCAATAAACAAAAGTAAATCTATACAAAAACATTGTCACTGTAAAACACAAAAACGAATATAAGAAAGAAAAATCAAATAATACATTTTGAATAATTGGAGCATTAATATTACTCCAAAAGGATTGACTAAAAGGATGAACAGACTTAGTTGTAGGGCAAAGATTCACAAAAAGAGCAGGATGCCTCAATTATATTTTTACATTTTTGAAAGAAATGCTTAACGGTAAAATATGTGAATAATTTTATAAGCGATTTCAGTATGAGTGAAATATTAAGTGCCATTAAAATCAGACAGACTTAAGTCGTTTTGTAATTGGTGACTTGTAATGAAGTCATTTTTTGCTGTAAGGTGTCTGTACTTTTACTCAAGTATGGTTTTCAGGTACTCCTTACACCTCTGGGTATCGGTTCAGTAATAGTATCGAGATATTTTAGTCAGGTATCGTATCGAAGTCAAAATGTTGGTATTGTGACAACACTAGGTGGGAGTAGAGAGGGCAGGGAACCAACAGCTCCAAACTCAATCATTTTCAGTTTTCAGAAACTCACTCTCCGAGGCGGGAGTGTGGCGGATCTTCTTTCCATCCCCTCGCATCCAGCATAACTCCCACGACGACGGACTCTGGTCAGACTTGAGAGCCTTGGGCTCTGGGACGATGCTACTTTTTAAGTAGCTCTTGTCAGGGGCGGATTTAGTGATTTGGGGGCCCCAGGCAAAATATAGGAATGGGTCCTATACACCCTAACCCTAACCCATTTACCTGGATCAGCCTTGAGGTTCCTTTTTTGTTGTGATGCTTGCTGCTGCACAATGGTGCCCCACAGCTGTGTCCAATGTTTCTACATTTTTCATGTACATGTTATAATGGCTTTCTTTCATGCTGTAGACCACGAAATAGCAATTGATTTACAGTTTTCACAAAAACAAAATAAATTATAAAATGATAAACCTCACAATTGAGCCTTTAAACCATTTTTTAAGAAAGATGAGTCGGAAGTATAAATTATTATATTAATTTAAAACGGGGTTATGTGGGTGGATTTTTGCATTGGTCTGAACAAAAACTGCAGA